TTTTTTACTCTTAATAATTATTAAAGTGTTCCTAGTTTATGTTGTTTAATTATTTTATATTGATTATCACTGTCATACATGATTAATATTTTTTAATACACTTTATTTACGTAAACTTTATTTTATTATAGTTTAAATAATGAAAAATATTCAAATTTATTTAGCTTAATTATTTTTATATTAATATTAACTATAATATAGTTTTGTTAAAATATTCTAAGCTCATCTTATTGTTATTTTTTTTATGTATTATAAAGATAAATGTTATTTTATGACCATAAGAAATAAAGTTTAAATTAATTAGTAGTTGGATGTTTGACTTTAGGGATTTAAATAAGTAAGAACTTAATGTGAAATATCATTTTGTTGGTTGATATTATTATGCTCATTTATCTTGACTAGTCACTACTAAAATAATTCAAATTTTATTATAACAATGAATATCTAATATATATATATATATATATATATATATATATATGTATGTGTATGTGTATATATAATTATATATTTACCGTTGATTATAAATAATTTTGTACGTTCTATTGAATTATTTGTATTTATTTGATAGTTGTTCTCACTCCTTACTTTTCTCTGTTTAAAATTAAATATATAACAAAATAGATGGATTTACCTGCAATCTCAAGTCTCTTTACAGTTGTTATCTTTGCAGTCTTTCCTGGGGGAAATTAGAGTGTGGATGTTATTTCCAACTTAGTCACATTTTAAGGCATAGGATTGTCTTCATTTGTCTTTTTTCCCGACCAAGAAATTTTCATTAATATAGATGAACCTATTATAGTGACTTTCTTTTTACCACCTGCTAATCACGTTAATCCAATTGTAAATTTATTTCCACCACTAATGTAAATATTATAATAGAAGTAGAAAAAAAAATGTTATGTAAATAGACATGTATTGTAAATATTTTAAAAATATCATGTAATGTAAATATGAGCTAACTATATGTAAATATTATAATAGTAATGTAAGAAATAAGTAGTTTATAATTACGTACGTTATTGCAAATATTTTAATAGTATGTAATGTAATTATAAGTTAACTATATGTAAATAAGTTCACAAAATCTTCTTTGTTTTTATGCAAAATATTATTAATGTATAATTGTGATAAAAACACATAAGGGATATATTATATTATTCGGTGTTACACTTAACACTAAGGATCATCAAGTCAATGAGTAGTGAGTAAGTCACACAAGTGAACTAGACACACTACAACATAACCTAAAACCTGCCAACCATCATACTTATATAGCTAAGCTCCACATTAATTGGTAAGATATTATCCACTTTGGACCTAAACTATCTTAATTTTATTTTTAGTCATCAATCAAAAAACTTCTTATTGATGGAGACAATTATATATTTATAAACCCATGTATCCTTATGTTTTAAGGATGTGGGACATTAATTACATCCCAACAATCATTTATCAAAGTGATCTATATAATCTTCATTGAATTTCAAATATATTTTAAACTTGTTTTTATTTTTTAATTTTCAAAAAATTAATTTTAAAACATATTTATAAGAATTTATTCTATATGAATATAATGCATATATTTAATAAGAATTTACCATATACCCAATTTTGTTCATTAGTATGATGTGGCAATGACTTAAATTCTTAATAAATAATCACGTAGTTTTTTTATTATATTAAAATATATAAATTAAACTCTATTTTTAAAAACACAATAAAAAATTTACTAAATATATATTTTTCAATTTAATTAAAATTTATTAACAATATAAAATTTTAAAACTATTATTAAATCATAGATCACTATATATAATAAAATTATTAACTTTAAAAATAAATATTTTAAAAGTCACATTTAAGATAATATTTTATTAGTTAACGATATGACAGCCTTACTTTGATTTATATTTCTCTAAAATACAAAATAGTTTATGAAAAAGAATGTGAAGCAAATCTTAGGATTCTCTTTCTCTTTCTTTTTCTTCGATGTGTAGAAATAAACAACACCAAACTGAGTATTTTATTATAAGCGATGCTACATGTAAAATAAAAATTGTATAATAATTGTATAATAATTTGCAAGGCTTTAGGTTTAAACGCTGCTGTAGTTCTTATGGATAAAAAAATACTAAAAATTTAATTTTAAATTACTTTAAAAGTTACAATATTTTCTAATTGTTTAATAATATAAAAATATATATACTAACATGAAATCTATGATTATTACATCAAATTTTATAAGAACTTGCAAATCAGGCAAACCACGACATATGGGTCAGTTTAACTCATTTAAGGCTTAACTTATGAAATTCATAGTTTTAATAGGTAGGATAAATCATATCTATGAACTAGATAGTCTTTTTTTTTTTTTTTTTTTTCTGATCCATTTCTGTCTTGCAAAACTCATAGTTAAACAGAAAAACTCGTGAATCTAGTAGCAAAATTGAGAAATGTGTATATATATATAAATGTATCAAGCCTTCTAAAATCAAAAATAAATTCTCAAAAGTCGATATTAAGCTTGTACATTTAAACTAAAAATCTAAAATCTTAATACTTTTAATAATTAAAGTTTAAATACACGAACTAAAGAAAAAGTTGAAATAAATATCAAAGTCCTCTTAATGTTTTAAGAACAAAAATGAAAAATCCTCATATCCAAATACACCAAGCAAATATATTCGAGTCTTAACTCTTAAACGGATCAGTTTGCCAGGTTCACAGATTTAGCCCGTGAAATTTGTAGGATGTATGGATCGGACCGAATTTTTACTATAACTAAGTAGATAAAATTTTTTTTAGGCCTATTAACTACATGGTCCGTGGGCTTAGTAGGGAGGCCCACAGACTTCTGTCAATATACCCACCCTAATGCCACATGCATAAATTAGACATGCTCCACCGACTATCAATAAAATATGCTTAATTTATATTTGTTTAAAATTCATGCTCTAATTTGAAATTGAGACAAGACAATTTTTTTTGTTTTATAATATATATAATAGAGACTAGAAATATGATATTAAATAAGTAGTATATTAACCCAAGCATGTGGTTTAGCGGTAGGAGTTGATCCATGTTTCAGCAAGGTCAGGGGTTTGAATCCTGCCTTATGTATGCAGTCGCGTTAAATCTTGGGGCCAACTATTCCACCCTTACCAACAAGTGGTTATAGGCTCGATTTACTTTAAGACAACTAAAACAAAACAATTTTTATTTTGTCATAAAGCTTATTTATTATATAATTTGTTGTTGTTGTTGTAGTATTGAAATAAAATTAAATATTTAAAAATCGTTTTTCAACAAATTTATTTGATTAAAAATTTATTTTGATTATAAAATAATTGATTATATATATAATAGATTATTGAAATAATATAATGTTGACAACTTTCCTAAATACACTTTAAAGGTGATTAAGTGAGTTCTCCAACAGATATTAGTATAGATACTTTACACAATAAAATAGTAATAAAAAAATAAGTAATACAATGAATAAATAAAAATAAAATAAAGTTAATTTAAATATATTAATAATGCATATATTTTCATTTAATCATATTAAATGTAATAAAATTATTATCTTTTTAAAAGAGCTACTTAAAAAAATATATCTAAAATAATTTCGATTAATTAGGTATATTTTTTCTTTCAGTCCAGTGTTACATGCACAACAAATTTTACAATAATTTATGCGGTTAAAAGAGAAAGAAAAATAAAAAAAAAATTAAAGTATAATAAATAATATGATAAAGAGAGCTAAATAATTAAAAAAAAATTATTTTCAACTATGTATGAAACTTACAATTAAACAATATTATAAAATATTTGATAAACAATATAAATAAAAATTTATATGCATCTTCTTCAAAGAAACAATTTGTTTGTGCTAAAATACTTCCGATCGATAGTGCATTTTGTCTCTCCTAGCAAAAAAATTTCCATACTTAAAGCCAAAAAGTTTAATCCCTATAATTAACCATCCTTAAAGAACTTAGGACTTGTTTGGATAAAAAAGCACTTGTAATAGAAATTTTTTTTTTCCAGAAACAAAAAATTAATCAAATTATATACAAGTTAAAAAATATGTTAGAGACTATGATGAACATTAACATGAGTGTACACTTTACGGTGTTGCTGACGCAACCATTTCGAACAGATAAACTGTACTATGCCTTTACTGTTTAGATTGAAATGAAATAACTGAATTTAATTGGCAATGCAATCAACGCCAATATTATGCTTTAAGTTTAAAAATAATTGAGACAATGATTCTTCTATTGTTCTATATTATAATACACACTTTATTTTTAAATATAAACAACTTTTAATTACTTTTATTCTATTAATAATATTCTCTCTTTATTGCACTATTTCTTTTGACTTTTATGATAAAAATAATTTGGAAAGAGAATTATAAGATTAGTTAAATTTAATGTAGATAAATAATTTTCTTAATACATGTAAAATCAATTTTTTTTAACTTGTAATAAATAAAAGAGAAAGTATAATGTTAACTCTTCAACACCCGCCAAATAAAATTAGTGAAGTGATCAAAACTTATTATTTGAACCCAGTTGTTTTGAACCGGGGTGTGAAAAATCCACGATATAATGAATTACTTGTGAATGAAATCAACAAATTAGAATTTACTGTTCTGTAGCATAAAATTATGACTTCATGAGAATTTCAAACCAAGAATTATGTTAACTTTTCCCAGTAATAGAATTATGTAATACTATGAGCTATTGAGCTTCTATGGTCAGCTGTTAACATAGAACAGATAAGTTGAAATAATAAGGGCAACTTTTAGTCACACCCACATAACTATGTTACCAAAATAATGGATTGATGATCTTATTCAAGTAGTATACAAAAGGAAAACTGACATTTACCAATTCACAAAACTCTTATACACTTCAACGCAAATGATTAGACATTAACTTTATTCCAGAATAGGATTCAAACAAATGGAGCATTCTAAGATCTCTATATGTACCGTGAACATCATTATATTAATAGGTTCTGATCACTCCATTTTTTAACAAAAAGCTCGAGTACTTTGATCCAAAAACAAAGATACATTTCAGTGGATGTAGCATATACAAGGAATTTTGCACAACTACTAAATACAGCAAACTGATACATTTACTCATTTGGCACCAAACCCCAGTTGAGTAAACATGCAGGGTTCAGTATCAGAAATAAGCAAAAGGAACAAATTGAAGAAAAACAAAACATACAGTCCAAGACCAGCACAAGTTATGTGTTAGGAATACAAGCCTTGGGAACAGTTGAAGACCAAGCAAGATACTTAGATGGCTGCTTCCACCTTCAAGCATCTAAACACAAGATCAAATAATTTATTCAGATATCTCACACATCTCGTTTGTTATAATTCCCTGCCATTAACTAAGCCGATGACAACGGCCACTAGCACAAATCATCAAAACAAAGTTGTTGATTGTGGATGAAAAAGTCCAACATGAAGGTTTCATGTATTGTATATAATCCTGCTAATGAATAAGTTAAGCCAAGTTACTCATTCATAAGTTGGCTGAAGTTCATAAAATAGCACCTTAGTTAGGGTTGTTGAAGAACTAAATTTAGCTCTTGGGCAGACTTGGCCAATAAGCCACCCCTCCTGCAAAAAAAAAAAAAAAAAAAAAAAAAAAAAAAAGGGAAAAAAAAAA